CTTTGGTATGATCCTAGATGATTTGTGTGTTGTACCTAGGAATGATCCTAGATGGTTGGTGTGTTGTACCTAAGAATGATCCTAGTTGATTGATGTGTTGTACCTAGGAATGATCCTCTGTGTTTGGAGTGAGGTTCCTAGGGAGGATACCAGCTGATCGAAGTCAGTATCTAGGAATGTTCCTAGATGATTGGCGTGTTGTACCTAATCGTGATGTGGATTATTTTCCAATCGAGATAATCCTGATATGGATTATTTTTCAATGGAGATAATCCTGATGTGGCTTATTTTTCAATCGAGATAATCTTGATATGGATGATTTTGTAATCCTCAAAATCATAATATGGATTTTTGTTTAATCCACATAATCTTAATGAGAATGACTTTGTAATCCGGAAAAGCCGATAGTGAATGTTTTTATAATCCGGGAAAATCTGTTGTGGATGCATTGGTAATCAAAGGGATGTTTGGGAGAAGTAAATCTCTATATAATCCAGATGAATCTTGTTTGAGCTGCATAGGAATCCGACGGAATCCGGTGGAATGTCACAGGAAGTCTTTCTGTTCCGGCGTTTGTCTATGATCGGATCCGATCATTTCCTGAAAGTTCCGATGATCGATTTCGACAGGAACCAATCGGATCCTTTTCCGGCGTAATCCGGGCCGGAATCCATTAGTTAGGAATCCGGAGTAATACGGATCGGTTCCGGCCGGTTTTACTGTGGAACTCGTCGGATTCCTGTGTGATCCGATACCGGATCCGGTCGTTTCTTGGAAGATACGTAGGTCGGAATGAATCTCCTGGGTTAGTTTTAGGAAAAGCTTTTTCAGATCTGAGGTCATGTGACACTGATATCTATTGAAATGTTGGAGTATGGTGTATATGAAGTATATTTACATCGGGGTTATTTTAAAATAAGTTGCAAAAAGGAAGTGGTTTTTAATAATAAAGTTGGGTCTGGCTCAGTGTTTTGAGGTTAATGTAGAATCAAATCATTCTGAATTTTTATTGGTTAGGTGATCTTTTGGACGCTACAGGCTCAATTTCATACCGATGGGATCAGTTTGAAAACTAATGGTGCGATAGGTGACTGACTTCATATGAGGGAGATCATAGAAATATATACATTCATGTATTCATGAGTTATTATTAAAAATTTGTTCGTCAACATTCTAACTGTGAGGAGAGTGATTCATATACTTACTTCATTAGTTTTATAGTTAAATTTTAGAAATAAATGCACATTGTTTACGTTTTATATATTAGTGAGTTCACAACGTGAGTTATTGGAACTAACAAGCTTGTTATACTTAGAAAATCTTGAACAATACATTCGTTATCGAGCGAATATTGACAATATTTTTAGAACCGACGATGAAGCCACAAAAGAATTATGTGAATTTTCACGTGCTGCTATATGAAATATTGAAAATATTTGTGCAACACACGCATCAGGAATTCTCTTCTCAGTGTTAGTATCGCTGAGTCATTTCACACAAAAGTCAATGTATGTTCATTGGAAAAAAGTTTCCGGCTTAAAGAACATCAATTTATTTGGTCTCATTGTTGGTCTTAGTGGTGAATTATAATAACTCTTTTAATGATTTTCTATGAATTAGCTGCAGGTTCCGATAAAAGCGGTTTGATCAATGTCATATAATCATATTATAAGACTTGTGAACGTTTATTTCCTGAAACATATATTTGTGATGGTAAAAAATCAATTATGCATGATATTACTGGAGCTGGTCTTCACAAGGAGCTCTCTAATGGTTCCAAATTTTTGCTAATGCATGAAGTTGATTCTAATCTAACAAAGCTCGAATTTTATCATCAAGGTAGATTGGAGTTTTTGAAAATAAATATTCGCAAATGTTGTTTTATGAGAAGCAATTTAGAAACATTGTTTTATTGATAGATGGTATATGCGCTGAAAAATCAAGCACGTAGAAATTATTATTCAAAATAAAACTGTTTCTCGTTATGAGACATTAAAAAAAATTGTTATTATCAATATATAGCTTTGATTTTAATGAAGAAAACTTCCTAAATACTTTCGTTCGCATTAGGCCATTTGGGTATTTTTATTAGCCATCATGTAATACATACTACATTAGTCTTGTTTCGATTAATGTTGAAAACATGTCTGAGAAGTTGTCTTGGAGCAAAACATGCCGGTTTAATATTGATCAACTGATTGTAGAATTATATAATCATGAAATTCACCACATTTATGAACAGCTTTTAAATCGTACACAGAATGTATATCGAACCTATTCTTTAAATAGAGTAATCAAAAGTTCTTTTTTTTATTCAAACATTTTAGCATAAACTTGACTGATGTGTAGAATGTTGATGAGCGTTGAATTTTTTGCATACCAGATCAACTCTCAGTTGAAGTTGTTTATTAATCTTAGTCAATGCCCCAAATCTTTCTTAACATTCATCTTCCAATCTCTTGAATTTGTCGATCCATTTTTTCAAAATCTTAATTTTAGCTAACATATACAAGAAATCTTAGTATTTTTTTTGATTCAATAATCTTTTTCATATAGATCAAGCAGGTAGCGCTTCGGCTCGATCACTTCTATGCGAAGCATTTGACGGCTTTACGGAATCATCAAAAACCACAAGGATGTATGATTTCTTGATAAAAGACTCACGATTATCATTACTTGGTGCAACAACTGGCAGTTCTCTTCATCTATTATTAGCTCATTATACCATTCATAAAATCTCTGATGAATGTGGCAATCGATTCTTGTATCATTTTACTGAAAATGATCTTATTCCATACGATTTAGTAAGACAACCTGATCCATTTTTACCGTCGATAAAACAAATCTTCGTAATTGTTCATCTCATCGGTCGTATAGTTTATGAATTTACAGATGCAACTGGTAACGATGAGGCTCAAAGATATTATGCAACAAAAGGTCGTTACTACATTGAAGAAGGTCGGCGATTATTTCGAGAACGACAGCAATCACATTTACAATCATTTTATTCAAAAAGTGCTGAAAATTTTCCTCGAATATGTGTCAATATGCAGAGATTTTTGGACGCGATGATGGTGTTATTGAAGATGAGACAAGGTGGTGATCTTCAATTCTCACAAGCCGTTGATGAAAAATTTGTTATTAAAGCAAAAAAATATATTGAATTTAACTTAAATAACATTAAAAACTCCATGGGTGATTTTGTTAGTTATGTTAATTTAGAAACGTGTCAAATAGCTAGTAATTTATATGATAATTATTTATTTAAAACAACCATGGCTCTTTTTACTTTGGACACTTCACCGCTGCAACCAAGTTTGGCATCAAGCGAATTTCGATCACTATTGGGAGAAAAACTTTCAATTGAAAAACGATTATTACAGTTGCCTTTTCAATTCTTTCTTAGGTCTGATTTAAAGCAACCGACAGTTGATGAATCAGGGGAAAAGATAAATGCACCATTTCATCATGTTGATGGTCATCAGTTGAACATAATATTAAGTAAATTAGTTAAAGAAAAAAATATTATGCATTGACAATTTTATATCTCGTCCAAGAGCGAAATCTACTTTTTCCTACATGAAAAGCCCAATTCCTGGCGATTCGATTGAACGAGAGATCTTTGAAAAACATTTACAGCAATATAAAATTAAACTCAACGAATATAGACATTTGCTTGCTCGATCAGCCCTGCCTAATAAATGTATTTTATTAACTGAGGCCATTGAATTACTTACGTCAAGTCCGCAGCATGTTGATGACTGTACTAAATATGGTCTGACATAAAAAAGTATGCGAAGTAACATAACTTTTTTTCTTATGAGGACAGAGTATAGAATGTAAAAAAATGTTTATTTCGAAGATGTTGTGTACTAAATCGACTTGCTTGAAAATATAAATATTTGTCCCCTTCTCTTACTAAAATTTTTACAAGACTTGGTATACTTTTTCAGTTCATCTTAATACTGAAAATGAAGTTCCTTGTGTCACAAGTGCAAATGATCTAGCAGGTAACGATTATATGTTTGAGACAACACTACTTGATCACATATCTGCTTCGAATACAACGATTCTAATGGTAGATGAAACATTAAATAACACCAATAAAGGAATCACGGATCACGATGCATCAGGCACGAACAATAATACGAAAGAAAGTAAGTGCATGTGTTCTAGTAATTTCAAATACCTTTAGAATTTGCCGATGAGCTTGCAGAAGTCTTTCAAACAGATATTATAAATGATACAGAATTCGATCTGAATATTTTAATAAATACTAATCACGGTATACATATTTTCAGACACATACATTTGTATTTAGTTTTTAAATGTTTCATATATATTTAGACCGTACAACAGATGCTTTTCAACAGTTGCACACAAATGAAACTGAATCAGACACAACAATAGAAATATTAGAAAAAACTGTAGACATTGAGCCAAAAGGTATAGTTAAGAGAAGTTAATTACTGCAGAAAATATATGTGAACTTATATTAATATGAAAATTTCGACGGCATTAGCGACAACGAGGATATCTCCTTAACATCAACGTCTCATGATTTGAAATTCGGAAATGGTAGATCTACAGGGTGTCCCAGAAATAACATAGCAATAAAAAAATTGAATATCTCCACTCTGTTTTAATGAAATGGGGTAATTGTTTTTTCGATGATAGAGATGGGTTGAAAGTATTTTTTTCATAGGAATCAACTTTATAAATACTAGTTTGAACTATCATTGTCGACTAGAAAAAAGAAATTTAACCTTCAACAGAATGGTGTGGGCGATATTCTGAAAACATTTCTCATTCGATTTTGACTTTCAATTAAATCATTCAATAGAAAAAATTGTTCTCTTTCAATCTTTCCAAGGCAGAGCTTGCTAGCTTGTTCCGTGCAGAGGCTTTAAGCATTTTTCTGAGGGCTTCAAAATAAACTAAATGGTCCGTAAAATGGATCAATACCGTGGCAATCGGCCTCACTGAGTCGAGTGGCGATGTGTATTTTTATTCCTGAAGCGGTCTGAAGTCAAGAAATCAAGATTTTACAAATATCAGCTGTACGTAACATAGCTTCGGAAGGTGGAAATTTGTGACATCTTGATTTCTTGACTTCAGACCGCTT